CAAAATTCTTTTTGAATAAACTTCAAAGATATATTATATTTTATACATAATTCGAAATTATCTAGATGTTTTTCAAAATCGTTTTTTGAAGAGAACATGACATTGGTCGAACATAATTCAAACTTTTATGTATTTTGTTCAGGGTTTGGAAAATAGGTAAGTTTCTAACAGATCTGTTCAGCTCTACTAACAAATATATAGGTAAGTTTATAACATATATATTCATATATGTTTATAACATACATATGTAACTTTTATGTATTTCGTTCTGATGTTGAACACTAAATAGTTCAATTCTTTCTCGTCTTTCTCATCATATCAGTAAGTGAATCTTTGCTAACACTTGTTCAAAATCGCTTTTCGAAGTTTTTCAAAGTCTTTTACCGAAGTTTTTCAAAGGTTTTAGTATTTTGTTCAAAATTTAGAAATATTAGGTAAGTTTATAACAAATTTGTTTACATATATTTATCGCATATTAGGAATTTCTTGTTTAATGTTTAAAAAAATCTATAGGAATTTTTATTTTTAAAACTTTTACGCAAAAAATCGATTTTAATATAAAGGCAGATGTCTTGGTAAAAGTTGAATGTGTTGATAATGATAGGGAAATCAAATTATTTTCTTTCTATATTGTATAGTGTCCAATAATGTTCCACATAATTTGTTGTGTTTTTAATTTTGATTTTTTTCATATAGATTTGACTTTTTTTGTTGATTATTAATTATGCTTGATATTTCTATATTATACATCAATCTGCCATTACATATAATGTCTTATCAATCCTCATTCTTTGACTTTGCCGATTTCCGTTTAATATGACTTTTCTGTTGCTGAAGTATGGTTTTGACGCCTTAAAATATAGATGTTTTGGATATGTTTTGATGTTATAATCATGCAGAAATTTGTCCCGCCATTTTTTTAATAAAGATGAATTTTTTAATGAAAATTAATCATATTTATATTTATAATTTTGAAATAATATTTTTTTTTCACGGCTAACAGTTTTTTTAATGAAAAATATGAGACAATTTATTCAGCAATTTATAAAACAGAATGTTGATTGCGATAATCAAATCTGCAGAATTCATGCATTTTATTGAATAGTAGTAATATAAAATATTTTATGATTACTACCAAATGGAAAGTCAAAGATAGTTAATTTTGCATTATTAATTATGATCATATGACTTCTTTTTTATACATATGCTTTTTCAATGAACTTTTTAAATGATAATATTGACAATATAGACTTTGCTATAATAATTATATATACTGTTAATTTATTTATTTACTTCATAACATTTTTTTAATTCATCTTATTATGCGTATAGTCTAACTTTATAAATTATATGTCATTTAAATGTATCTATACAACTAATTTATAAGGTTTTACCATTTGAGGAGCTAAATTTTTATTTTAATTATGAAACTAATCGTTCTTATCATTTTGCAGCTATATGTTTGATGGAGTATGACTGGGAATTAAATTACAAAAAAAAAAAATAATTTCATTTTTTATATTGTAATGTAACATGATCTGTATTATAATGTTTGTATTTATTACATTTATTAATATTTTTTTGTAACTTTAATTGCTTATTCAATTCATAATGGAATAAAAAATAATAATATATAGTTTCTGCACAACAATAATGATTGCCACGTTTATATATATATAAATGAGAATAAGAAACATAAATGTGGAATTAACTATTTTTTTTTAATTTAGCCATTAACTAATTATGTTTAACTAAAAGAAACCTTCTTAAATGTGGATTAGTGAGTAATTAATTAAAAAATGTAACTCCTTTTGGAGGGAAAGTGAAATGTTTTTATTAAATGTTTTATTAAATAGTATTAGCTAGTAATTATATATATATAGACTCTTTTTTTTTTTCTTCCAAAAGACGTTAGAAAGACATGTTTACTTTTTTTTTTAGGTGAATCTTAAAGAATTCACTAATCAATAATTATTTGATCTTAATAAAACTATTGTATTATCCGCCTTTTCCCGTTTAATTATATCAATTTGTTTTTAACTAGCAACTGAAACTTAATCAATAAATTTTTTAACATAATATTAATTAAAGTGTAATAATAGTGTAAATTATTCTGTTATATAGTAGTTATTACTAATACTAACCAATTATAATTCAATTAAAGTGATATATGGAAGTTCAATAAGTATTAAAAATTATATTGCAATTTTTTTCTTAAACGATTTATTGCTCTTAAGCATTTATTTTAATAAGCTAATTGGATTTTTTTTTCGCAAATAAACTTGAATTCAAGCGATCGACTGATCAACGATACAGATCGAAATAAAGGAGATGAAAAATACGGGAGATAATCCTTCCACAAGAAGGATCCCGTTGAACGAGTTGCCCATCTAGCTATATTATGAGGTATAACATTGTGATCGCGACTAACATGAATACAATTTCCACAATTCAACAACCTCAAAAGATCAATAATATCAGAAAAAAATATTGTGCAACGGGTCGTTAGAATGTTGGTCTGAGATGCCAATAATAGTAGAAGCAGCGCATGTTTTTGCGGATTGGAGCATAAAGCCTGAATCCAACGCGAATCGAAGTCCGAATCGGAGGGCCATAGCTTCAGTTGTTTCCGGGGTAAAGGACCCTGACTGTTTGGAAGAAAATGCGGCCCAACACAGACCATCTGAATCACAAATCCGAACACCAAAGCCAATCCTTCATCGTTTACTGCCGCATCACAAAAAAGAGTAAACTCATTTTTACACGTACCTGGGGCACTCCAAGAAAGTATGGGTGTCGAAGTGATCAATCGTTCAATGCTGGAAGAAAAAATTTGCGACGTTTATCTTCTCCAACCATATGTTGCCAATTACCCAGATTTGTTCCACACTCCTTGCCGATATGCCATTTTGAATATGGTTCCTTTCATTCCAAATAAGCCACAGAAAAATTACGAACCCTGGCATTTCTTTTCCTCTATCTCCATCCAAAAATTGACAAAAAATAGATATGAAACTCTTACCTCGCAACCTAGCTAGCATATCCCACCACCGACCATTTTCCACCGTCTTTTAAACCTCTTAAAATTGCATACATAATAATAATAATAATAATAATAATAATAATAATAATAATAATAATAATAATAATAATAAACATAATAATAATAATAATAATAATAATAATAATAATAATAATAATAATAACTATTAAGATAATTAATAGGTTAGGATATGTTGATGGACGGATCCGGATAAGATAAAGTTTTATAAGGATTAAAAAGGAATACTAAGAAAGATATACGATAAATTTGGGTTTTTTTTTCACTTAATTACGAGGTCGGCCCCTGATAGTGAGGTCGGCACTTTGATCACACTTGGGAATAATTGCGAGGATTTTTTACAGATTCTGAAGAGAGAAAGTAGTAGTTGATGATTTCAACAACCCATGATAAATGAATTAGGTTCCCTATTTATAGTAACCTTAATTTGGCATTATTCGGATATTGTTCACATGTCTTGTCGCACAGTAACTCTGACGGGCAGGTCTGCACCTTTCTGACACATTAAATGCGATTTGAGGTTTTTTCTATCATTACTCTCAGACATTTAATTCACACATAGCGAGCATTTAATGCAGACAGGCCTTTTTTAACGGGTCAGGCTCTGTAGGGTGGTAGAGTAGGCAGGGGTGTCCCATCGGCAGTCATTAGTTGCCAAGTGGCAACATTTTATTAATTTCGAGCATTTCTCTTGCACGGAAGCCGGTCACGGAGAGTCTCCAGGTCGGATCTTGAACATTTGTTTATTCCTCGGCCTTCGAGAATCTACGGCCGGCCCCAACCGCTAGGTGCCGGTATCCGAGATGACGCCAACTGTCGTCCGGGTTGACATAATTTCTCGTTCAGCTCGGCACTTCACAATTATTTAAGATACCGGTCTGGGTTTTGAGGTCGACCTCTCCCGGTTTGATCCTGGCTATCTCGGATATCAACATGATCCTTCAAATTTATGAAAACTATATTATTCATTTCATATTATGCATAGTGATGAAATTGAATACTTTTATAATATTCATTTTACTAATGACAACATTTTTTAATTGTGATACTACTATGAACTATCCAACTTATAATTTTATTATTATACGCATACATATAAATTACAATAATTTAAACATATGTGATTGTGCACATTATCGGATACTAGTATATACAACATTGTACACAATAATTTATCAAAAATTTATACCTCTATTAAATAACACGAATTTGAAATTCATATATATTTTGACTTCTTTTACCATGAAAAAAGAAAATAAAAAAAAAAAATCACCATAACACCTCTAAATGCATGAACTCCCATATCACCACAATTTACTTCGCAAAAGATGTACTACTCCTATTTTTAATATATGTCGTTTTGAGAAGTTGCACACTAATTAAGAATATTTTTTTGTCAATAATAACCTTACTTAATGAAGATAGAGATAAATGTTTTGAGAAAAAGTGAAGAGTGAATATGAAAAGACGTAATGTATTTATTGGCTAAATGAGGGTAATAATGGAAAAATATGTACAAAAAATCCAAAACGACATTTATTTAGCAAATAGTTGAAAAAGCTAGAATGACATTTAAAAGAAATAGGATGGAGTTTACAAAGATGATAAAAACTTTGAAATAACAATTTTCTTGGGTTTCACGAAGATATATTAATCTTACAAAGATGATGTGATTATTTTTTTTTATTTTTAATCTTCGAAATTAGTGAAATTTATTGAAAGTTAAAATATAATAGGTGTGTACGGATTTTTGGAAAAAAATGATACCTCGAAGTTGAAAATGCTGTTTAGTATCATGCAAAAGACAAGTTGGTGAATTTAAAATGCTCTAGCCTCTATCTACACTACACGCCTATAAATACTCCCTTCTACATCCAAACTCATACCACTCACCAAGTATCTAACAATCCTATTAGCCACCACACACCCACAATTAGTAATGGAAAGCCCCCCTTCAATTTCAATTGCTCACATAATTTTGTTGGTTATTATCGCAGTCTGTATTGTCCCACGAACAACCGCTTGGAACCCACCAGCAAACCGATTTGACTACAGCAATGCATCCCTCGATAAAGCATCCAAAGACTATGGAAACATAGTTCATCTTAGACCACATTCCATCTTAGATCCTAAGTGTGTCAGTGACATCCAGAGTCTAATTTGGCAAAAATATAACCACTATGACACTGAAACGAACAAGAGCATTGCCATAAGGGCCTGTGGACATTCCACGAGGGGGCAGTCCCAAGTCCTGAATGGCATAGTGGTCAACATGACTGCTATGAACAATACCCGTTGGAGTAGGATCAACATTGGTAAGAATTACAAATTAGGTTATTATGCAGATGTCGGGTGTGAGCAGCAGTGGCTGGACGTTCTCCAGGCCACGCTTAAGGTTAATCTTACCCCAGTTTCGTGGACGGATTATCTGCACGAGAGCGTGTGCGGGACACTCTCTAACGCGGGTATAAGCGGACAATCGTTTCAGCATGGTCCCCAAATATCAAATGTTTATTCTCTCTATGCAATTACGGGTAATTTATGTAACTAGTTTTTGTATTTGATTTTATTTCTCACTAGTCACGATATCTTTCTTTGTCTCCCTCTATAGCAAGCATATTCGGGGTTAGAATTTTACCTTCGTGCATAAATATTTGCTTAGGTACGGGAGACCACAAATATTGCGAACCAAACTGGAACTCGGACCTATTTTATGCCCTTCTCGGTGGCCTTGGACAGTTTGGCATCATGACCAAGGCACGAATCAGACTCGAAAAAGCGCCAACAAGGGTAATATTTTATACTTAATGTATGGAATTTTCCCTTCTACTTTTATAATTTGATCTTTGTGAATACTATTCACAGGCAATCACGACGAGATTACTTTACATTGACTTTTCTGATTTCTCAAATGACCAAGAGTTTCTTATTTCAACCAATCTACCCAACTACACTGAAGGTTTCATTATCGTAAATAACAAAATACCCAGCGGTTGGATAACTTCCAATTCTTCAGTCACTATATCCGATGTTGATGCCTTGTTGAAGAATTATACTGTCCTATATGCCATTGAATTTGCCATGTATTACGACGATCAAACTGTCGACACTGTTCATGAGGTACTATATATATATATATATATATATATATATGTGTGTGTGTGTGTGTGTGTGTGTGTGTGTATGTGTGTGTTTGTGTGTGTTTGTGTGCGTTTACTTACTCATTAATTAACTTATTAATTAATTCTTCTCACAAGAAGATACCAGATTAATTCCATTACAGATTTATATTTATATCATTAATGTGTATAATTTTCAATCAGGTACATTCAGTTAATTAGTAATTTCCTTTATCCTCGTAACAGGAATTCCAGATGTTGATTGGCAAGTTGAAGTTCATCCCTAACTTCATATTCAATTCGGATGTATCCTACTTCGATTTCCTTTACAGAGTCGGAGACTTGGACCGTCCCGACCGGGGATCACTGCAAGCTCATCCATGGCTCGTTGTATTTATCCGGAGATCCCAAAAGGACGAGTTTAATAAATATGTCTTGGCTGGCTTGCTTCCGACACTTGGCGAAGCACCTACCATCCCCATTTACTACCCTCTAAACGCAACAAAGTAGTCCACAATTCATGAAATCATCGTTTAAATTAGCCACTTTATTTTTATTTTGGTTATAATTATCTAAAAATACTGCTAACTATATATATTACATTAAAATAATGCACAGATGGAGTAATAAAACCTCTGCAGTGATACCAGATGAAGAGATATTCTACACTTTAGGACTGCTACATAGGAGTGCGCCCGTTGATTATAAGGTCTTTGATGATTTCAACCAAAAGCTATTGCGTGTCTGCAATGAAAATGGTATCGAGTACAAGAAGTACCTGGCGTTCTACGACAACCAGTCACAGTGGATTGGACATTTTGGATCTAAATGGGAAGCCTTCCGTCAAAATAAAATGAAGTTTGATCCAAAATTGATCTTGTCTCCAAGCCTAAATATTTTCAATTAAACGTGTCTTGTATGCTCTACAATAATCGCCATTTGATATACCCTTTGAATAAAGAGCATCTATATGTACTCTAGGTTACCTGTTTTTCATCCCAATTGCTATAAATTGAAACATTCACAGAGTTGGGATAATAATAATGTTTAAAGATTAGAATTTCACTTTGAGTTCCCAAACTTCACCGCCTTTTTTCAATTTTAGTACTTTTTGTCAGAGTAAATTTTTTATTAGTGTTTAATACAGAATCTCACTCTATCTCTATCGTGTTTATCAAGAAAGGGTGTTCGAAGTTAAGTTCAAACAATGATAGGTATAAAAGAACAAAACATAAAGGCGCAATGCTCTAAACACACGTGGATTGATTAATTTAATTAAACTAAGAGAAAGCATAAAACTTATGAAACAACAATACAAGAAAACAAAATTACTAAGCACTCTAAATCTCAGAAAGATGGATAAGTAGTGTAACTTAGGGTTATGTAACATGCAATCGAGCGATCAAACACTAGGTCAGAACGTAATTAAGAAATTATTATTAATCTATAGTATACGGAGGAATTAAGTCAATACAGTATAGTAGGGTTGATAATGAGACTCAAATAATTATGAACCATTTAGGTACCGTACCGAAAGCACTATGAACCGAAAAATAACCGTTCACTTTTCACATTCTCTGAACTGAAAAATAATTGGTACGATTCTGAAAGTTTTCAAAATATTCTTATCTAAGTTGTATCGAACCAACATGAACCGTATCGAACCGAATGACATAATTATAACATTACATATATCATGTTCATAAATTTTATTCAATTCTAAGCCTATATAATAGAAGAATTTATAAACTATTTAATTTCATATATGAAGTGAATAGATTTCACCCGGGCTCCTTCAACTCGAACCGGCCTCCGTACCTGCAGAACCCAATGCCGGGGGTGGCCCCGGCGTCGGGCCTACGATGCCTAAGTCAGTCTCCAATCCCAAGAGAGAGATAGTGCAGTAATGAATGAATAGAGAATGAGAGAATGAGGTACCTTGGCCCCCTTTTATAGGGGGAATGTACCTTTTGGACCCAAGTTGGGCTTGACCACTATCGTTGGGCTTAGTTGTCTTAGTGGGCTTATCCTCCAATATATATCCGCTTTATCCATTAAACCGGGTCCAGTATAATATCCTATATCATCTAGTCCCCCCCACTCTGGTCGAGTAAGCATGACTCGATCCAAGAGTGAAAATTCCTCTTCAGATTGTTTCCGTCGACCTGCCACTGAGGTTACCATTTGAATAAATCCTCGGCCACCAAATAGTTATCAATCCTCCAAGTGAGCATCGGGACCCCAAATGAATACCGAATGACCACCAATATCAAGAATCGAGTGACCCACCACTGGGGTCGAACGCCAAGAATCGAGAATCGAGAGACCTGCCTGTGAGGTCGAACGCCGAGAATCGAAGATCAAGAGACCTGCCTCTGAGGTCGAATGCCGAGAATTGAGAATCGAGATACCTGCCTCTGAGGTCGAACGCCGAGAATCGAGAATCGAGAGACCTGCCTCTGAGGTCGAACGCCGAGAATCAAGAATCGAGAGACCTTCCTCTGAGGTCGAACGCCGAGAATCGAGAATCGAGAGACCTGCCTCTGAGGTTGAACGCCGAGAATCAAGAATCGAGAGACCTGCCTCTGAGGTCGAACGCCGAGAATCGAGAATCAAGAGACCTGCCTCTGAGGTCGAACGTCGAGAATCGAGAATCGAGAGACCTTTGAGGTCAAAAATCGAAAATCGAGCATCGAGAGACCTTTGAGGTCGAACGCCGAAAATCGAGCATCGAGAGACCTTTGAGGTCGAACGCCGAAAATCGAGCATCGAGAGACCGTTGAGGTCGAAAAACAAGAACTGAATGACCACTCCCTGAAGTCTTGAATTTGAAAATTTGAATTTACGTCTGTTGT